GCCCCACAGAGGGTCAGTGAGGCCCCGGGGTAAGTGATGGGAACTGGGGTGCTCAGGAAGGGAGCCGGTGGGCACCAAGAGCCCAGTGCGGCACGGGAAGCGGAAAAGGCCCGGGGTGGCCCAGGTGCTCAGGGCACCCTCAGAGCCCCCCTCCTGTGGGATCCCAGCCTGAGCGCTCCCTCCTCATCCAGGGGCTCTCGGCAGCAGAGGAGGAGGAGACAGGAAAGAGGAGAGGGCACCTCCCCAGTCCCAGCAGCAGGCTCCAGGCCTGTGTGGGAGGGAGGGACGGGCGGGGCGGGAACACAGCCGGCTGCCTGGAGCCAAACCGAAAGCACTCGCCCACTCCGGGACTGGAGGGCTGAGCTGCCCGGCCTGGGACCCGAGGCTGGGAGGGATTCTGGCCCCTCCGACCCACAGGCACGGGGCTGAGTGGGAGCAGCTGTGGGGTGTCTGCCCCCCCTCTGGGGGGGCAGGCAGGGCCTCCGGCTGCGGTGCCACTTAGCACCTGGAAGATGCCTGTGCCCTGGTTCCTGCTGTCCTTGGCACTAGGCCGAAGCCCAGGGGTCCTCTCTCTGGAGAAGCTGGTGGGGCTCCAGGACACTGCCCGCTGCTCTCTGGTGAGTGGGGGCCGGTGGGGGGGACGCTCAGGGTTGAGTCTGAAGCGGGCAATGCCCTCACCTGGCTCCTGTCACTGCCACGGCCGGAACCGCCCGGGCTGGTCTGTCTGGTGTTACTGGAGCATGAGGCCGGCGGAAGGGGCAAATGCCGGGTCTGCCTTCTTCTGGGAGGGACCTAGAACAGGGAGTCCCACAAAGAGGGGGGCGTGGGGGGGCTTCTCCCGCGGGAGAGATGATCAGCGGCGCGCTTCAAGCCCGGCTCTCCTTTTCCTCCCCAGGGCCTGTCCTGCCACCTCTGGGGTGAGTACCCCCACTGGTAGAGAACGGGACTTGGCAGAGGGCGTGAGGCAGGGGCTGCCCGGCCCTTCGCCAGCAGCGGCCATGAGCTCCTTGGCCCCTGCGGGTGTCAGGTGCAGCCACTCTGGGTTCTGAGGGCTGTCGCCCCGCCCTTCGCCCTTGCAGATGGCGACCTGCTGTGCCTGCCTGGGAGCCTGCAGCCGGCCCCGGGGCCCGTGCTGGTGCCCACGGGCCTGCAGACAGAGCTGGTGCAGAGGTGCCGCGGGGAGTCCGCCTGTGAGCTGTGCGTGCGCGTGATCATCCACCTGGCTGTGCACGGTGAGCACGTCCCGGCCGGGCGCCCCCCGCGAGCGTGTCTGGGATGCCCGCGAGGTCCTCCCGGAAGCCCCTGGTCAGCCTGGTCTTACCCCCCCAGGCTCCGGCCTGGCCCCTGCTGCCCAGCACTGGGCTTTCTGGAAGGAAGCTAAGCCCAGGCGGAGGGTCTGAACGGGCCTTGCTCTGGGCTCCCTCCAGGCCCCTGGGAAGGGCTGCGAGATGAGGAAGCGCTGGGGGCAGCCGCTGACCCAGCGTCCGAGGAGGCCAGGAACGGTGAGGAGACGCGCTGGCCTGCCCCGCTGCCCGGGCCAGGCTTGGCTCCCGCCTGAGCACCCCGTCTGTGCCGCAGCCTCCCTCCAGGCCCAGGTCACACTGTCCTTCCAGACACCCCCCTTCTCACGCTGCGTCCTGCTGGAGGTGCAGGCGCCCGCTGTGCTGGTGCGGCCTGACCGCTCTGTGGTGAGTGCAGCCCCTGGCCGCCCCTCCAGGGCCCAGGCGCCGTCTCCTTGAGTCCTGACTGAGCAGGGCACTGGGCGAGCCCTATCAGCCTTCCCCCTCAGCTTCCCTGTCTGTGAAGGGGGGCAGGACTGTCCTCAGGCCTGGGGGGCCCCCCACTGGAGTCTCAGCAGCTCAGCCTCCCCTTCCTCTGGCGAGCTGCAGGCTCCCCCGCCACCCTGGGGGCCCTTCCCCTTCTCTGGCTCCCGGAGGCCAGGCTGAGGCCGGGTCTGTGCCCCCTGGTGTGGGTGCAGGGTTCTCCTGTCTGGGGGATCACGCGGGGTGGGAGGGGTAACCCGTCTGGGCCTGCAGGCTCTGGCCTGGGAGCCACTTCTGGGGAGGGGGAGGGACAGTGCCACCCCACATCTGTGTTGGGGTGTCTGAGCACCCTGGTTTGGGCCACAGGATCCAGGTCAGGGCGGTGGCTCCAGCAGCAAGGCCCTTGCCCCGCCTGTGGGCCCCGCAACTAAAGGGGTGTGCTTTGGCGCTCGGGCGGAATTTCGGGCCTGGCAGTGTGCAGAGCCATTGCTTGGGGGGGGTGTGGAGGCGCACACGGGGGACCCCAGGCCTCGGCCTGGACCTGAGCCCCAGCCTCCGGCCTCCTCCGCTCCCCACAGGGCTCTGTCGTGTTCGACTGCTTTGAGGCCGCTCTGGGGGCCGAGGTGCACATCTGGGCCTCCACCCAGCCGCGGTACCAGCAGGAGGTCAACCTGACACAGCAGCTGCCCGGTGAGCGCCGTGCCCGCTTCCAGCCCACCTGCTCCCACCTGGGCATAGCCCCGGGCCTCCTAGGCCAGGGCAAGACCCCTGGGGAGGTGCTCTGGGCTCTGCGCAGACATGGGGGGGGGGGCTGGGAGCGCCCCAGGGGTTGGATTGTCCCCTTTCTTTTCTCAGCCCCCAGCCCCACCAGCGGCTTTTCTGTGATCTCTCCCCAGACTGCAGGGGGCTGGAAGTCCGGGACAGCATCCAGAGCTGCAGGGGTAGGGGCTAGAGCCAGGGC